TGCGCTTTAATGCTTAACCGGAAATCTTTTATCTGCTCATAGTCAAAAGATCGACCTGCATGAATGACTCCACTATCAGCACTGACGGACACATATGAGGAGACTGGCACTCCGTTAACAGAGGATTCCTCTAGTATGTAAGAAACACGAGCATTTTGATTCCAGTCAGCGTCTTTGGCTTTCACTGTAAATATAGACACACCTGGTGTGTTGTTTTCTACAATGTAGGCCTCATATGAGCTCCTCTCAAAGACAGGTGCGTTGTCATTCACATCAGAAATCTGTAAGGTGAAAGTGACGCTGCTGGAGAAGGAGGGTACGCCTTCATCAGAACAGGTCACTGTGATATTATATGCAGAGATTCTCTCTCTATCTAATTCACTTTCTGTCATTAAAGTGTAAAATTTTTCGGATGTGGACTTTAAAGCAAAATAATCGTTATTATTTATCACACAATGCACGTTGCCATTATCATTTGAATCTGCGTCCTCCACATTTATAATGGTCACGACGGTGTTGGGTTTTGCATCTTCTGAAATCATATTTGATTTAGACATGATATGTATGTCTGGGCGGTTGTCATTCACGTCTATTATATCAACGATCAGTTTAGAAGATCCAGTCAGTCCACCATCATCCGATGCTCGAAGATTCACCTCGTAATTTTTTGCTTTCTCATAATCTATTTTTCCATTTAATGTGACTTCGCCGCTTCCTTTATCTATTTTAAACAGCCCATGGCCCTGATCTGTCATAGCTGAAATTGAATACGAAATACGACCATTAGCTCCCTCGTCCGCATCTGTTGCAGTAATTCTAATTATTACTGTTCCTATCGGTTGATCTTCTTTTATAAAAGCTTTATAAACAGGTTGTTTAAAAACAGGAGCGTTGTCATTTGCGTCTAAAACATTGATTATTATTTGCATTGTTCCGGTCATCTGCGGGTCTCCCCCATCCACCGCCGTCAGAACCAATGTCAGCAGTTCATTTTTCTCCCTATCGAGCTGCGCATTCAAAACCATTTCAATATTTTTACCATCATCCATTTGATTAACGGACTTCAGGGAAAAAATATCAGAGGGGTTCAAAGAATATGCTTTCAAACTATTTTCTCCCACATCGAGATCTGTGGCTCGGTCTAGTGTGAATGTTGTGCCAATAAGCGCAGATTCACTGATGTTAAAATGAGCCTGGCTTGTTCTAAATGTCGGAGGGTTGTCGTTTATATCTGTTATTTCCACAGTGACACTATAAAATTCCATAGGATCTTCCAGTAGTATCTGAAAATGCAGAGCGCAGGGCATTATTTGCTCACAAAGCGCCTCCCTGTCTATCCTTTCTTTCAGTAGCAGAATCCCTCTATCTCTGTTTAGCTCGACGTATGCTGTGCTATCGCGAGTGAAAACACGAGCTTTTCCACTTTTCAGTCGCTTCACATCTAAGCCTAAATCCTGGGCAACGTGACCAACAAGAGAGCCCTTTGTCATTTCCTCGGGAACAGAGTAGCTGATTTGAGCAGCCGCTGTGCTGAAGGAGATGAGCGAGACAAACAATAGAACTTGCCGTCTCGTAGTCATGTCGGATAACGTCTTCAGATCCACAATAGAAACCCGTTGTCCAGCGTCACGGTTTCCACTAATCCAAAATGTGTTAAACATGTAGGTATTCCTCAAAACGAGATCAAAATTCGGCCTCGATATTGTTGAAGCATACACACATCCGTGCATTTATCATTTACTGCCATGTCCAAGTCTTACGTCTTTCTAAAATGTAGAGACGATGGGAGGTACCACTCGCTTATAGAGTATAAACCGAACACAGACTGGTCAACAGCGTCGCTTGGAGTTAAAATACCAAATTGCATTGCAGATACTCCCACTGAAATTCTGATAACAGAGATAGGATAAGATTTGTAAAAAACAAACAAACAACAACAACAAAAAAACAACAACAGGCACTTCAGAGCATGACATTTACAAACAAGAAGGATGAATCAGTGCAGGAAAGTGAGGAAAATGAAAAAGGCAAACACTTTCGAATGAGAAAAGTTATTTCGTTGCATTACGTTGAAGAGCACAAACAAAAGAGGGATACATTGTATAGAACTTTTGTGATGTTTTATTAAAAATATACTCATATACTAAAATATATTATTCTTTATGATGAAATGTTGAAAATAAAAAGAAAAGAGAAAAGACAATAACATGTCAAATGCAATTTCTAGAAGAAAGCAAGGTTCGACTCTATCCATGGTCCTGAATGCAAGTGGATCATAATGATGAGGCACACTCGGCTGATCTCACGCACACACACACACACACACACACACATTTATATATATATATAAACACACGTGTGTGTGTGTGTGTGTGTGTGTGTAGGTGTGTGTGTGTGTGTGTGTGTGTGTGAGACAGATCAGATTCCAAAACATGTCTGAAATAA